GACTGACAGTATCTTTTTTATTTACATTATTTCCTTAGTTTCCAGAAAAGTATGTACAGAACATCTGGTAGGAGCATAAAGGGCTGTAATCCTTTCTATGGAGTCAGGCCCTATGTGACAAATTACCACAGTACTTCTAAGAGGCATATAATCAGAAATCATAGATTAAGCTTCACCCTCACACTGAATGGAAAATGTCTTCAGAGCTCAAGAACAAGGGTCAGTAGGTCTCTGTGAATTAGAAAGACCAGGCAGCATTGTTACATCAGCTAACTAAGAGAAAATTTGTCTGGGAAGATGACTGCTAAGAAGATTTGAAGTCATTAAGGGAAGCGCTCTAGCTCAAGCTAGAACTTAAAACTCCAGATTCATCCAACTTGTAGCAGTCCATGGTAGCAGACATACAGGTCAGCAGCTGAGTGAGCTGATGTGGCTGCTACACACAGAACAGTGACTTGCAGTGACTGCAAACTCAGAGAGACACCAAATATTCTGTCACATAACTTGGATATTGACCACTGCAAAGGCTCTCAAGACACACTGTCCCTATTTATTGATTCATCCTCATCTTCTGTAGAAACTTTAAACCTAAATACTGGGTTTATATCCTGTTTGGAATGCACAGATTAAAGGAGAACTTTTAATAAAAGCTTCACAGTTTTGACATCTGAATGAAGTTTGTTATGCCAATACTTATAGCAATGACTGAATTCAAACCCTGAGACTAACTTTTAGTTAATTGCACAGATATTAAGAGCGAAAACAGTATGGCTGACTGCTCTTGCTATTTTGAGAATTCAAGATAAGTAATTACTAAGTCCTATTTCAGCAATGTTTGAAAACTATTTTCATGTTAAATGAAAATTCAATACCATACTGGATAGCAATATCATTCATAGTACAATAGAATGTAAAATTTCAGCAAAGTGTCCTGAACATCTCAAAACCTAATTTTAAACCCGTGTTTTCAACTGCTGTGCATTTTAAAAAGCTTTGAGGAATACAGATATTCAAAAACATAGTTACCCTAGGCAATCATGGAAATTATGTTAGCATGGAAGCAGAATATTTCCATTCATCTCTTCCACTTTCATAGAACCACAGAAGGAGAAGCATGTTTCATTTTCACACTGAATGTACTGTCTACACCATGAGCTTCATTCATTAGTTTTCAGAAGAATATTCTCATGTCTGATAAATAGTATTTCTGGGCCAATTTTACAGCTGTGTGTCAGACAAATAATAAAAATGCATGTTCACACTGGATTATTATCCAATTTGATCACATATTCAAGACTTAAATGTTTATAAATAATGTGATTTTTTGCAATTACAAATGTTTTGTGGCTCCTGTATATTCAGCTTGTCAAATCTTTTCAAAGTTCAAATGTAATCCATCATTCTTTTTTTTTTTCTCTAAGTGCAGTCATCTGCAACATCCACAGGAGATCAGCTACTCCCTTTGTATTGCCAGCTTATCTTAGACTGTTATTCTCTAGAGTGTTTTTTTTCCTTTTCATGTGTCACCATAAAATTTTGTTTCAAAAATATCAGAAATGTTACTATAATTTGGATAATAATTAGAAGAGTCCTCCTCATAACATTTATGTTATTACCTGAAATAGATGTTCTACAGCAAGAGATATCTGGTTTGTAAAATGTCTGTTATGGATCGTACACCAGCTTGCCCATCATTCAATGGCTTTAAGATGCTGCTGATGTGTGAAATTACACATACAAGTTTGCTAAGGATATCTGTCAACATCTAAAAAGCCTCAGATGTACCAGAAATTTAGGGATCAAACTGAGTAAAACATGCTGTTTATCCAAAGAGATTTTAAAAGAAAAATTTTGCTAACCCTGTTTACTTCTTTACACTCTGCTAAGATAATTCAGTATTTATTATCTTAATTTTATTTTTTCCCCGTAGAACTCAGCAGCATAAACCCTCCTTCCTGCAAAATCTCAGTCTTTACATTATGGATTCCATAGATTCATCTCTCTTGTCTGTGTCACATAATTAAGAAAAAAAGATATGTGACCCAGGAGAAAACCGAAAAAAAGATATGTGACCCAGGAGAAAACCACTGTTCCCAGCTGTATTCAAGCAGTACCAAGTACTCTCCTCACACTGGAACAAACTCCATTTACTCTAGCCACATTTAAAAGAATAACACATTTAGGAGAATTTAATGCAGAATGAGAGAATGAAAGATTGGTATCTTGCAGATGACATGGCAGGCTGGGAAAGTGAAAAGTTGAGATTTTGGAAAAAGTATCTACAACCCCTGAAAAAAAGAGTCAATTTTATAAAGCTGAGATTGCTAAATTAATGTTTCTTTCAATCAACATGAATCACTGACTTCATACTGAAAAGTGCCACAACACAGTCAGCTATTAGCTCTCAATCTTCTTATATCCATCTATAAATATGACATACACTGACACAGCATACACATGAGCTTTGACACAACTTGCAGAGATATATTCTTGCTTCTAGAAAGGCCATTCATTTATTTGCACAGGAGACCCCCATTCCAGATTGACAAGTAAAATAGATGCTTTTCAAATCAGCCTAATGATTTGTTCAACCCTGAGAGGTAAAATTTTGTCCAATGGTAAATAATACTTTATCAAGATGCCAAATTATTCTTTCTGTTTAGCAGGCAAATGGGAATTAGTTCAAAGTCATACTACTGTATAAATAATTTGGTACACATATTTAAGCTGTCCATGATGGGCTTCAGAGAAAGTAAGTACACACACACAAATATATAAAAAATTCAAAACCAACACTTATTTTTCTATTTTCTAGATCTTAAGACAAGTAGAAATTAAATTATTGCCTGAATACATCTATTGCCACAATTAAAGGGATGCAAATATCACCCTGTAAGGTTATAGATAACAAAAATACTATTTTTAGAAATGATTATAACAGCAAAAGGTAAAGTTACTTAATAAACTTTGAAATCATGGTACCAAGACTTTAGAATAAGAAAGTCATTATAGAAGTTATAGTCTTATAGGTATCTGGAAAAGAAAAATCTAGTTTAGGCCTCACTGTCAATGGACAGAGAATTTAGAGTAGCATAATAAAGCAAACAATCAGCCATTTCCTTCTGTTAATTCTATATTCCAACCTGCCTTATTGTGATCCTTCCAGAGGGAAATTCTAGGCTACAATACCAAGAGGGGAAGAACAGGTTAACAGCTAGCTTGCAGCACTATTGTGCTATCTCAGTCCAGCACAATAGATCCCAGTTTGGTTTACCACTATTTATCTACATTTATTCATAAACAATAGAATGGAAATACAAACATATTCAATGCTGTATTACAATGAACTTGCAGTGAGAAAGAGACAAGTTTTGTTAATGTCACGTTTAAACATCAAGTTTCAATTATGACTTTTAATTTTTCCTTGAATCCTAACACAGAGAGGGGAAATAAGACTTAATCAAAGTATAAATAAAGAATCACCCATTAGTTTTGAAAAACATTGAAAATGTGTTACCTCTCTGAAATGTCCTTACCAGTACTGAATCTGCTGGACTTAAAATGAAAACTTGCCGATAACTTTCGCTGGAGAACTTACACAGGTGAGAAAACATCTTAGAAAAAATCTTTAGAAAAAGGCAGAGGACCAAGTCAGCAGAAGCACTGCGCCAGATGCACAGAGTGAACACTTAATTTTCAGTGAAGTTCTCAAACATATAACTTAGATCTTAAAATACCCTGCTCAGATACCACTTTCTTGAGGCAGCCAGGATTCCCAGTACATTAACTGGAAGTAAAGCTTCACTCCTATTTTGCATAATTCTGGTACCTTTAACAGAGAAGACAGTAAGGTTCAAAATGTCTTTTGACTGAGGAAATAAGCACCTGTCTCATGAAAAGAGCCTTGATAACCAGGCTATAACTTAGTCTGGAATACGGCGCTCTCCTAGGAAAATTGTTTCTCAAAGTACAGAGTAATTATGGGCTAAATAAAGACAGAAATATCTCTATAAGCTGGTTACCAGAGCACTCAACATGGAGTGGAGAGACTTGAATTCAGTATTTCCAATGGCTATTATTTATTGTACATTCTGTCTCAAGAATTCCTTACTGACAGTTCCATAGTCAGCTACTTACTTTAACATATGCCTACAGTACTAGTCAGAGGGACATTTTGGGGTGAAACGATGACAATTTCAATAAAAATTTGGATTCAGTCTTACCCAAGTATGATCTTGAATCATCTACATTCTTCTAAATCAGCCCATCTATTTTGCATTCCTGTCTCAGGGTGGAGGTGCATATTTATCTACAAGTACAGAAAGAGTCTAAAGACTCAGAGAAGTTCAGGTTCTCAAGACTGAGTAGAACTTGAGTTTTGAAAATCAGCAACCATGAGTAATTCCTCCCTGGTTTCAATAACAACACTTAGTGAGGAATGAGACAAGTTTACTTTTAGGTCGTGTCCAAAATAGCCTTGTCAGTAAGAACCTATTGACTTGAACAGGCTTTGGAAAGAAATGTAATACCAGAAAAAAACACACTCATGGGTCAACCTCAACTACTTGACTGGTTTGTTATGCAGTTATTTTATGGTCAAAGTGCTGAGATCTGGTGCTTATATAATGTTAATAAGCCAAAATACACGATGTATAGTGAGTCAGAAAAGCAAATGCGTGCAATCTGCCATTCTCAAATGTTTAGGACTTGGCACTTAGAAGAGACTGAGATGCTAATGGCTCAAATATTTGGGCATTTGTGGAGGTGGCAGGGTGCCTTGCTGGGACCAGGTTTTGCCCCAGAAGGGCAGGAGGGGGTGTTTTGAGCATGTAGTGGTGAAGCCTGTGGTCTGCCTGAGACAGAGGGGTGAACACCAGGGGCTCTGGAGTTTGAGCCAGATAAGGGAGATGGCTGATAATAGCAGACCCTGTGAGGTGGGATAATGCTTTTTATGATGTCAGTCTCCTCCCTCCAGCCCACCCTAGGGGAAGTGTCCCACACCCATATGGGATATTCACATTCATTCTCAGGCTGTAGAATGTTCATCTCCTCTTACTGGGCATAGCTGGTTCAACTGCACTGACATGGGAGGGGGTTTCATGTCTTAGAAGGGCTCATAAACCATCAAAGATGCCCAAAGCACCCCCCAACTCATTTCTGGGGCCTTCCAGCAGGGGTCTGTGCATGATCCACAGTGCTGCAACAGACAACGTAAAACTTCCAGCCAGGGGAGGTAGTGGGGTGTTTCCCACCCAACCTCAGTGTATTTTAACCAATTGGACTTTGTGTTTCACAGGAAGGAATTCCTGACTGCAACCATGACTTTGACAAACAGACATCGAAACTGCAACAATCAAGTCTCATCAACAGGTGGCTATGTCTTTCTACTCCTATACTTTCTTTCTCTTTTTTTTCCCCATACATTTTCTGAAGTGTTGTTTTTATTCCTTTATATTGCTGCATTTCTGCAGATAATAACAACCAAAATGGCAACATACTTGCTTTCTGTTGCAACCAAACTAAATAAACCATATACTAGCATAAAGCATAAATATATATATATGTTTATCCATAAACACCAGTCATTCAGTATCATTTCACTCTAAGGGAAACCTAAGGGGTTAGTAGATCCCCCTGAGGAATCCATTACAAGAACCTGAGTTACCCTCACCGACAGGGGTAGGTTGAGACAGCATTCTGTTCATAAACCTCTCCAGTGTTTAAAAATTTATTAAATTAAATATAAGGAAACAAAAGGAAACCTGCTATGTCTTATTAATTAACAGGAAATGTCAACATTAAGTGTAGTAATTACTTGAAATGTTGTGATTGTTTATTTGCTTATTTGAAATTACTTTTAAGGAAATAGTAAGTGCAAGTGAAAGGAAGATTGCCTCCTGGGGATGTAGCTTACTTCAAATGCCAGTGACTTCATTCAAGATACAGAAGGACAGTGGTTTCATAAGAAAATGATAGGCATTTCTTTCTTCTATTTCTAACCAGCATTTGGAATAATGCAATGGAAAAGATATTAAAAATTGTATTTGAAAACTTCAAAAGAACAGAAGAATTGTACATGTAGCTTCTGAAGAGATTTACATTGGATGCTTCCATCTTTTTCAAGTCCCTTGAATACTTGAGACTCTCTCTAAAACAATTCTATCACTAGAATCATAGGCAGAGATCCTTCTCAGGGGCCATGCATTTGAAGTCCTAAAAAGAGATTTTTTGGAACTATATTCCCAAACCTGATTTCAATCATAGTAGTATTAGAATATGATTTCCACTATATTGGCTGACAATATTTAACATTTCTACTGCTAAAATAGTTCAATATAGACAGCAATGAAAGCATTAACATATAATCTTGTATATCTCTGAATAGTTGAGCATAGGGAGTAGCATAGAGCATACAGATGAGAATGACATGAAACAGACTGTGAGCTTGAGCTGTCATTAGGTATTATCAAATCACCTTCTAACCCTATCACTGAGAAACTCAGCTCCTTTGGGCTTCCATTTTATGGGTACTAATTGATTTGCAGTGTTACCAAGTGATTTTGGGAATGTAATGTAAAAACATTAGAAAGTACACATATCAAAAAAAAAATAAAAAAATAAGGCTATCAAGAAAAAGAAAAGTATACAAAAGTTTTGGTCCTGCACAAAGAACTGTAATTCTAATGAGGTTTTTGCACCATTTATAGGAACCTCAGAAAAATTAAGCACAGCAGGGATCTGTGCTGTCATTAGTTACAAGACTAGAATACTATACAGTAGCAGTAATTCCCTGCTCTTTGAAGTGACCACATTGCTACAGAAAAATACCATCTGGAAGTTTCCCCTGTTTCTCCATAAATGACATTTATATGCTGGAGCTGCTCTAATAACCTATTCTCAAAAGGTGAAAACACTAAGCAGATGTGGGTCAAATTGAATTGTTTATATGGCATAGACTTCAGACAAGCAAATTAGACTTTTATTTTCCCCTACTAATACTACTACTTTACTGTGAAGTAAAAAAGCAAAGTAAAAAAATAAAATAAAAAAATAATCACAAACATACAAAGCTAAGACTCCACCATGAACCAGAACATATAAGCTGGATATCTAGAAAAAGGTACTAGATTATGTTCTTGGAATCATAACTTGGAGATCTCAAAACATCAGATATTGCTTAGAGAATCTTCTGACCCACGAGATACATGCCACTGAACAAGATGAAGCTTTTACAAAGGAGTTAAAAAGGAAAATGTAAATTTTAGATTCCTCATCTGGATATGCATTTTATAATGCCAAAAACTGAGATTCACATTTGTAAGCCATACATCTGTTCCCATTACCAACAACTGCAGAACTGGTAACGGTTATATTTCTATTTTTAAAAAGCAGCGTTCTGTAGCTGCTGTATTATTCACACCAACATCACTAGTTATGTTAAATTTACCTAGAAAAAAATCAGAGCAGGGATAAGTACTTAGCTGACAGCAAGAAGACCCAAGTTTTTGTCATCAGTGTGACAATCAGGTGGTGTTAGGCAAGGTCACATGTATTCCTTTTTACTCTCTTCAAGTATTAAAACTATCCTATGGTTATTTCTCTGAATATAGAAATATTTGAATTGAAGTCAAATATATGAAAGAACCTCAAAATACACTATGCCATAAAGTTAAAAATTATTAAAAATTGTTTCAAATATCACAAATGCCATAAAGTAAACTTAAGACATTGCAGATGTTGGGGTTTATTTCTGCACAATTAAACCACTTACAAATATATTTTTACCTATAAACATAACAAGACCTTTGAATATCATCCAAACTAAGTGATGAATCACTGAGGTTTTCAACTGCTGCAGTGCCCACTTAGGCTAAATAAATTCTCTTTTTCTACCCCCTCAGAATCTTGTGAGGTTTTTTTCTCCTGACTTACAGAGTTCCTCCATTTGTCTTAGATCCTGTAAGACATTATAGCTAAAGTTTCAGAAAGGGGAATTCTCACCAGATAACAGGCAACTGATGCTGCTAAAAGTGGCACTCATTCCCCCAACCCACTCTCTATTAAATTGGCTCAGCAGCCTCATGAAATTTCACCTTAAAAGGACAATTAATCCTTTGACCCAATAAAGTTGAGCCCTTAATCCATACCGTATCACTTCAGGAACTCAATTGCATTGAACTGTTCAGTGAACTGTGATCCTAGTCTTTCTTCATTATAACTCCTTTTCAGTTAATTTATAGTGAAATATTTGGACAGATTGTTACAATTATCTACCTTCTCCTATCAGGAGCTTTTCCTCCTTCTCTATGAATGATTCCTTATAGTCATAGTTTTTTACACAGCAAATTTTACCTGTATGCTAGTAAAAGTAGTCTTTCAACTTATTTTTTTTTAATATTCTGCCTATAATTTTAATTAAATTACTTGTTTTTATTTTTACCCTGGTTTTACTTTCAATGCTGAGAATTAGTTCTTGTGTTAGTAAACTATGTAAACTCAAGCTAAGTTTTAAGCCTCTGCACTCACAGATTATATATAACAAAGTAACATTCTTTACAGGCACATCTCTGAGCTATTCTTGAATACTGAAGAAAAAGTATTATTGAGATCACACTAAGCTGCACTGTGCTGAAGACATTGATGGGGAATTTTTTTTTTTTCATATATGATCTTGGCATAAAATGTTTATAATAGGTAAATCTGTATTAATCCTTTCTGTGGATAATAAGGCAGAGTGAGCAGTTCTAATAAACTGTGCCACAGCAGCAGTGCATTTATACTATTAAGCATCTTGCTTCAGTGATTCATGTCCAGCCAGGTCTGTGTTCCTCACTTGAATAAATAACTAAGGGAAAGACAAAAGACAGAAATGTAGAATAATGGATAATTTTCTTGGTGGAGAGAAGTAACCTTTGGAAAATTGAGAGGGTCTATGTGGTTGAGCATACTTATTAATGAATAATCATTAATTGAATCACTAGAAATGAGAGTGAATAGAATGTTCAAAAAGCAGCCAATGACACAAAGTTGGTCAAGACAAAGTATATTGATTTTTTAACAAGAAAACAAATTAAATTTTTTAATAGATTTTAAATCATTTTAAAGGTTATTGATGAGAGAATTTTCTGTTCTCAAACCCAAAATCTAGTCACTTCCAATAATACACATTACAACCAGAACCTTACATTTCTGAATTTAGACTCAAGCTATCATTTCATTTTTGCATTCCAAACTTTACCTTTTAGGATGCAGTGGGGTGGCCCTGTATAATAGGGAGTGCTGTAATTGTCTAGAGCTAATGATGGTGATGACAGGGTTGAGTATTTATAGACCAACAAGGCAGACATCCTGGTGGGAGTCTGTTATAGACAATTTATGACCTTTGAAAAAAAGGGCAGGCATCTTAGGAGGACTACAAGTATCTTGTGAGGTTATGCAGGCAGAAACTTAGAAGGGGCAAACCCCCAACAAGGACTTAATCTCGTTACTGCCCTAAAATACAAAAAGAATATTTCTATAAATACATTAGCAACAAAAGGAGGACTAAGGAGAATCTCCATCCTTTATTGGATACAGGGGGGAATACAGTGATATAGATAAGGTACTTAATGTCTTCTTTACCTCAGTTTTAATACCAATAATACCAATTGCTCTCTAGGTACCCCTTTTTAGCAAAGCAAAATGGTGATTAAATCACATAACCAAGGCAAACCACTCATGAAGTTTTGGAATGGAAGAAAGAGGCTATCATTTTCAGTCTATGTGAGTCACATTGCCTGAGTCAAAATGATGAATTGTAGGAATGCTGAAACTATGAGAATACAGTGTTTGGGAGAAAACTCTTTCCCTAGCTGTATATATTTTATTAATTCTCTTCTTTACTCCATTTGCTCTGCTGTCTCATGTCTGAGCTGTATCAAGGCAGCAGGGAATCAGTCACAGGTGAGGTCATGAGGAGCAGGCACAAAAAGAAGCACAGGGGAATGAGCTTTAGATAAACCACACAACCTAGAACTAGTAAGAATGCTCACTAGCTCTGCTCTGTTTACTAAAAAGGTGTTCTAGAAACACTCCTTCCCAAAGCAGCAGTTACAGATTATGACCTAGACATGCATATTACTCTGCTTGCAGTGACATTTATTTCCATATGCTGTTTTATTATTCACTGTTTCAACTGTGTTATCATAAGTTGTTTGTGGACTATTAAGCAGGACAAAACTGGGTATGAGAAGCACTATTACCTAGCTTAGCTGGGTTTATGAGGAGGCAACAATGTGATTTGGAGCTTATATCCACATTCAGATCCTAGTGTGCTGTTCTAAATTCTCACAGAAAAACAGTCATAGAAAATCTCTTTATAGGTTTCAGAAGCAGGAGAGAAGTCAATAACTAGGAAATTACATCTGGAGTGGCACATTCTCAAGACCTGTACAGATTCTGAAATGCATTCTAAAATCAAATGATGCTGCCTTCCTGTGCAATCTGTGAATAATTTGTGACACACATTGAACCTATTTATACACAAAGACCTTGTGGAGGAGAGAGGATTGTTTGTACAGAAGTACCTCAATATATGTATTAGTGAAAACATACAGTATGCAATAGCAACAAAACTGGTAGGCACCTCTAAATAAAATAGTAGATTTACTGTCTAATAAATTTGATTTTGAAGGCTATTCTAAGACATTAGAATAATAGAAAATAGAAAAATAGAATCATTTTACTCTATTATTATTTTGAATTACAGTGTATATATTGTCAGAAATGGGCATTTCAAAACTACACTTGCAATTGTTTATCTTTCATAAAACTCACTTGGAAAAACCTTAACACTTTTGGTGGTGGTGGTAGTATAACAGCTCTGAGATAAATCCTGTTTTCTGAACCACTCTCTCTTTTATTCCTTTTGTTAATATTGCTTCTTTGTTTTCTCTTGGCTTATATTGAAGTGCTCACTGATGAAATATATTAACTTTATTTAGAGGTCTCACAGTTAATTTATCAAATAAAATGATCCA